ACATAAGCAAAAAGAAAAAAGCCGGAAGTGGCGCTGTGGCTCAAGTGGTAGAGTGCTAGCCTTGAGCTGAAGAGCTGAGGGACAGTGCCCAGGCTCAGAGTTCAGGCCACATGACCAGACCCTCCCCCCAAAAAAATAAAAATAAAAGAGTCTCATGGAGTTTCCTGCCTGGGCTGGCTTTGAACCACGATCCTCAGATCTCAGCATCCTGAGCAGCTAGGATTACAGGCTGAGCCACTACCACTGGCTCAAACCCTCCAATTTTAAGTGGTAGTGTTGAACCATCCTTAGTAATATCAAATGTGAATGGTAAATCAAAATAATTTGTCACTTGAAAAGAGTCTCCTGTTCTTTTTTGGCCAGGCTGGCTTTGAACCGTGATCTTCAGATCTCAGCCTCCTTATAGCAAGGATTATAGGTGTGAGCTACCTGTGCCCAGCTTATTTAAATGAAAAAAAAAAAAAAGATACTTGGACGAAGGAGTTTCAATTTGACAAGTCAGTTTATGAGTACAAGGCATTGAAGATCAATTATTTTGCCTGGCTGGATGATACACACCTATAATCCCAACACTCAGCGGGCTATGGGAGGCGGCTACAGAGTTCAAAGACAATAGGGCAGTGGTGGCTCACGCCTGTCATCCTAGCTACTCAGGAGGCTGAGATCTGAGGATTGTGGTTCAAAGCCAGCCTAGGCAGGAAGGGCATGAAGACTCTTATCTCCAATGAAGTACTCAGAAAAAGCCAGAAGTGGTGCTGTGGCTCAAATGGTATAACACTACTAGCCTTGAGCAAAAGCAGCTCAGGGACTGCGCCCAGGCCCTAAGTTCAAGCTCCATGACTAGCACAAAAAAAAAAAAAAAAAAGAAAAAAGAAGCAAGAGTTCAAGGGCAGCTACTATCTCAAAAAACAAAACAAACACTCTCTTCCCCCTAAAACAACAAACACAAAGAATATTTGAGGAGTGCACAAAATAAGATTCCCCAAAGGACCTTACTCAATGATATTGGCCTAGGTTCCGAAAGTGCAGACAGAAGGGTTAAGCTTCAACAGAAACACAGAGAGAGATTCATATCATCACCTACCTCATAGCAGTACTGTTGAACTTTGTGTAAAACTTTGTTTAGGTCCTTGTTCAGCTGTTCAAGCTCTAAAACAATTGTTGCATATCTCCGCTGAAATTCAATGCCGATTGGCATGGAATATGATTTCTGAGAAGACAATCAGATCTTGGTAAGTTTTTATTATTATTATTATTGTAATTAGCTCGGCCTGGTGGCTCCTGCCTAACAGGCTGAGATCAAGGTTCAAAGCCAATGCAACTGCAAGTGAGGCTGTGGCTCACAACGATAGAGCCGTAGCCTTGTACAAAAGAGATCAGGGATACATGCCCAGGCCCGGAGTTTAAGACTCATGAGTGGGAAAAAAAAAGACATTATTAAGTAGTAGTTGCACACATAGGTTACAATTTCAAAAGTCAGACTATGAATCTAATGCTTTTTTTTTTTTTTTTTTTTTTTGTCGGTCGTGGGGCCTGAACTCAGGGTCTGGGCGCTGTCCCTCAGCTCTTCAGCTCAAGGCTAGCGCTCTACCACTTGAGCCACAGTGCCACTTCTGAATTTTTCTGCTTATGTGGTGCTGAGGAATCAAACCCAGGGCCTCATGCATACAAGGCCAGCACTTTACCACTGAGCCACCTTCCCAGCCCTCCACCATTCTTTTTGGCAGACAAGATATCTCAGTTCTTTGCCTTTCTCACTTGGAAATGTATGCGGAGGATAGTTCTATATCAAATTTATTTCAAGTTACATAGTGTTACACTGTACACACACGTCCCTTACTGATGGGCATTCTGGGTGTTTCCATAGCACTGCAAACCACAGTTTCCCCATGGGCCCCTGCTGTAAAGAGAAGGGCTCGGGGTTCTCACTCCTCACAGAATGCCTCACCAATGCCATGACTTGTGCAAGATTTTGTTTTTGCCACTTACAAATTCAAGGCTCATTTGTGTTTTTCCCTCTGTAATATGTCTATTCATACCTTTTGCCCACTGTCTTCTGAGTAGTGGACTTCTACTCCTAAATTTCACAGCATGTTTAAAAAATGTTGACATTTCTTAAATTCAGAGTACTCTACCACCTGAGCCATAGCTCTACTTCCACCTTTTTGGTGGTTAACTGGAGATAAAAATCTCAAAACCACAACTCTCAGATCTCAGCCTTTTGAGTAGCTAGGATTACAGGTGCGGGCCACCAGAGCCCAGAGAAAAAAATAAATCCTTACCAGTTTTTCAGCTTCTGTGTTCATTTCCCTTAATTTCTTGATATGTTCCTTTTTAATCATGAGAATTTTTGATAATCTAGTCTACAGACAAAGAAGAAATATTTCACAATCAACAGAAGCATTTAGCTACCTGTCAGTATACAGAACCTTACTCTGCAGCCCAACTTGGACTCCTCTTGGCATCCTGAGCACTGGGATTGCAGGTGTACACCATCACCACCAAATCTGCCCTTCCAACTCTTCACTAAAGTGATTGGATAGTAGATTTTAATGTTTTGATAGAAAAATAGCAAAGTATTTTATTTCATATATTTGATCAGCTAATGGGAAAATATAATATTTAAATCCACTGCAACTAGGACATATTAAAATGTAACATGTCAATCTGAATAAGCTTTTACAGCTCAAGACAGGACAATGTACAGATCAAAGAGATCGGAAACTGTAAGAACTGATATGCAAATGTTAAAATCCCAATTTCACAGTCATTGTAGGTATGTATGTATGTAAGACCATGGGGCTGGACCTCAGGGCTTAGGTGGTATCTCTGAACTTTTCTGCTCTACCACTTTGACCCACAGTGCCACTTCGAGTTTTTTTTTTTGTCTGTTGTGTGACTTGAACTTTGAGCTTGAGTGCTGCCCCTCAGCTCTTCAGCTCAAGGCTAGCACTCTACCACTTGAGCTACAGAGCCACTTCCAGTTTTCTGGTGGTTTATTGGAGATAAGAGTTTCACAGACTTTCCTGCCTGGGCTGGCTTTGAACCACAACCCTCAGAACTCAGCCTCCCGAGTAGCTAGGATTACAGGTGTTAAGCCACTGGCGCCCAGCTCCACTTCGAGTTTTCAGGTGGTTAATTGGAGATAAGAGTCTCATAGACTTTCTTGCCTGGGCTGGCTTTGAACCATGATCCTCAGATCTCAGCCTCCTGAATAGTTAGGATGACAGGGTGAGTAACCAGCACCCAGCTACAATGATACTTAAAAAAAATGCATATAATTAGAGAATGCTAGAGTCTCATTGTTTTCTAAACTTGGCAGCAAAAACATCTAACTGTATTACTATGTAACCAAATAATAGACAAGGGATAGTATTTCTTAGCTTTTTCAGCTAAGATGCACTAGTTTTCTGGTTGTTAATTGGAGATAAGATTCTCATGGACTTTTCTGCCCAGGCTGGCTTTGAACAGAAAATTCAAAAACGTATTTAGCCAAACTGACATAGACACAACTATATACCAAATGGACACAACTATATGACATTCTGGGAAAGGCAAAATTAGGGAAGAATAAATAGATCAATTGAGTCAGGTGCTGGTGGCTCAAACCTATAACCCAGCTCCAGTACTGGATCAACAACAGCAAAGAGCGCTATTCTAGTGGAGATGCTGACAAGGAGGAAGTCTATACGTGTGTACAGTAGACTACAGGGAAAGTACTGGTACCTTCCTTTCAGCTTTACAGTAAATTTAAAGCTGCACTGGAAATGATGTATATTAATTCTTTGGGTGGGGGATCGGGGGTGGGGAGTGGGGGGCAGGAGGTGGTTATGGAGCTTGAACTCTGGGACTAGGTGTTGTCCCTGAGCTCTTCAGCTCAAGGCGAGCACTCTACCACTTGAGCCACAGCGCCACTTCTGGTTTTCTGGTGGTTTATCAGAGACAAGAGTCTCATATACTTTCCTGCATGAGCTAGCTTTGAATGTGATCCACAGACCTCAGCCTCCTGACTAGAGAGGATTACAGGTAGAAGCCACTGGCACCACGCCAGAACACTTTTTTTGAGCCAGCATTTCACTATGCAGTACAGGCTGCCCTTGAACTCACTATCCTTAGCCCTCCAAATGCTGGATTGCAGTAGTGTGCTATCACATCGGGTTCATTACTTTTTAATAGTCAAACTAAAGCTGGGTGCTGCTAGCAGCTCATATCTGTAATCCTAGCCACTCAGGCTGAGATCTGAGTGGAAGCCTTGCATAAAAAAGCTAAAGGGCCAGGTGCTGGTGGCTCATGCCTGTAATCCTAGCTACTCAGGAAGCTGAGATAGATGGATCATGGTTCTAAGCCAGCCCAGGCAGGAAAGTCCATGACACTCTTCTCTAACTTAAAAAAAAAAAGACCAGAAGTAGGGCTGTGGCTCAAGTGGTAGAGCACCAGCCCTGAGCAAAAGCTGAGGGAAAGCACCCAGACCCAGACTTCAGCCCCAGGATTGGAAAAAAAAAAAAAGATTATTTAGAAACATTGTTACATACAATATTTCTACTCGACTTACTATGCTTTTGACTTAGATTTTTTAGTCTCTAAGAACTTGCTAAGTACTTAGAAATAGTAGTTTCAAGTTTCAGGAAAGTTTTTAATGCCAGGTAAGATAGTTTAAACCTATGTGCACAAACCTCCTAGCTACTTGGGAGGCAGAGACAGGAGACTGCACTTTGGGATCAGCCAGAGTATGAGTTCATGAGACTCCTCAGAGAATGAGAGGGTGCGGCTGTACACACCTGTCATCCTAGCAACAAGTCCAAACAGAAAGGTCACAGTCTAGGCAGCCCGGACATAACACAAGACTCTTATCTTTAAAATAATTGATGCAGAGACTGGCAGGATGGCTGAAGTGGTAGAGTGCTCACTTAGTGAGGTCAAGGCTGCAAGTTGGAACTCCAGTATCACCAAAACAAAATAGAACTCTTACTCCTTTTTGGCTGTTACAATTTAAGTTTTACTGGAAACAGTGAAGTCCTGAAAATTCACAAAATGACGAACAATATGTGCAAAAGTATTTGGCTCTAGAAAATTTTTGAACTTTAGTAACACGAAAGACATTAAATTTTTATACAAACAGCAAAATATTCAGAGCAGTTCTTACCACTTGAATAAGAAATTCTACTGGAAAACCTCCTAACGTTTCAGTGTCAGAGCCAGAAATTTTACTTCTCCAAGGTGACTGCCCTAATAAAGGGTCATTATCCTATGGGAATAGAAGGCAAACATCTAATGAGTGACTGCTCAAAAAGAGTATCTGACTTTTAGATAAAGTGAAAATTCTGTTATAATTTACACTGTATTAAAACCTAATAGGAAGGAAAACATTTCTGGATTTGAAGTGGCATGACTACTTATCTATTTTAATTTTTGATAACCCAAAATAATATGGGTAGCTCCTAAAGTTGTTATACTAGATGTTTATATCATAAGAACACAATTCAGAATAAAATAATCAAATTACTGGTAGCATTTATATACTACTACTCACTGTGATTGGAGACTGGAGAGGAGGAGTATAATGTAGTCGTGGTGGGGTCATAAAAAATCGAGAAGGCCGCTGTTTCTGTCCAAAGGCAGCAATTGGCATTGTTTCATGAGGCTCATTACTCTTTAACAAAAGTGAACAGTCCACAACTTAGAAAAGTTTATCAGAAGCCAGGTACCAGTGGCTCATACCTGTGACCCTAGCTACTCAGGAGGCTGAGATCTGAGGATCAGGGTTTGAAGCCAGTCCAGAGCAGAAAAGCCCCCATGAAACTCTTATGTCCAATTAACCACTCAAAAACCAGAACTGGAGTTGTGGCTCAAGTGGTAGAGCACTAGCCTTAAGCACAAAGAGGCTCAGGAATAGTGCCCAGGCCCTGAGTTCAAGCCCTACAATCGATGAAGAAAAAAAAAAAGTTTACCAGTCATTTAAGCTTTATACATGAGAGACATATTCACAGGCTATGATTTATGATGATACATAAAGTGCATTCTGATTTATCATAGAATATATTAATCTAGGGCTGGAAAGGTACATGCATGAGGTCCTGGGTTCGATTCCTCCGCACCAAATAAACAGAAAAAGCCAGAAGTGGCGCTATGGCTCAAGTGGTAGAGCACTCGCCTGGAGCTGAAGAGCTGAGGGATAGCGCCCAGCCCAGAGTTCAAACCTCATGACCAGCAAAATAAAACAAAACAAAAAAAAGAATATATTAATGTACAGATATGAAAGGCTCAAATGCAGATCAGAAAATGTAAACATTAAAGTGCTGTCAAAAGGTTGAACTCACAAAGGAATCAAAAGAAGAAACTATCAAAGGGTCACACAATTTGAAGAATTAACCAGTCACATTATTCTATGGGCCAGTGGCTCACGCCTGTAATCCTAGATACTCAGAAGCCTGAGATCTGAGGATCGCAGTTCAAAGCCATCCCAGGCAGGAATGTCTGTGAGACTCTTATCTCTAATAAACCACTAGAAAACTGGAAAGGAGCTGTGGCTCAAGCGGTTGAGTGCTCGCCTTGAGTGAAAAATGTCAGGGACAGCGCCCAGATCCTGAGTTCAAGCCTCACACTAAAAATAAATAAATAATAATAAAAATGAAAATAAAATTCTATGGCCAACTTTGGCTATTTTCATTTATACTATTTAAACATTATCTACTGTAAATTAAACTATTTAGCGAAGGAGACATTTCTGAGTGGCTGCATATTGAAAATTGCATTGATAATACAGAAAATCAATTTTCTGAAAATTTCCTCATATAATAGAAAACTGAAGGTACATTTTGCTCTTTGAGTCTAAACTTTTCTTTTCTTTTTCCTTTCCTTTCTATCTCTTGTCTAAAAGGATGAGGAACCAAAAAAAAAAAGGAGGGGGGGAAGTATAGGGAAGAGCTCTCATGTTAAGCAGTGTGCATAATTTGTGTGTGTGCACACGCGCGTGCATGCTAATCCTGCAGTTTGAACCCAGGGCTTGTGTGCGGTCCCTGAGCTTTTGTGCTAAAGGCTATTGCTCTACCACTTCAGCAACAGCTCTACTTCTAGCTTTTTTGGTTGTCAACTGGAGATAAGAGTGTCATGGACTTTCCTGCCCAGGCTGGCTTTGAACCGTAACCCTCAGATCTCAGCTTCCTGAATAGCTAGGGATGTAGGTGTGAGCCACCGGCACCTGATTAGCTCCAGAGCCTTAATTAATGAATGTGTGTGCCTCCATACTATCATTCAGAAAGTGAAGATATTAGTACCTACCATATGTAACTGTGAGGATACAACAACAAGACATAAAATAAAAGATGGTACTTTGTGCTTTTAAAGGCATTTTGTAAGAGGCTATTCTTTAACCTAAAAGCTAGGCTGAGAATGTAGAGTAGCTTCTTCCTAAGATTACTTAGTATGCAGTGATTGGTTCTATTATACTGTGTAGGCAAAATATAACAGACATGAATCCTGGTTTCAAAAAATACAGGGAGCTAGTAGACACCCTGGTTAGGAACTCCGAAGGATCTCTTCAGTTTTCAACATGAAATCTTTTTTTTTTTTTTTTTTTGTCGGTCGTGGGGCCTGAACTCTGGGCCTAGGCGTTGTCCCTCAGCTCTTCAGCTTGAGCCTCTACCACTTGAGTCTCAGCCCCACTTCCGTTTTTTTTCTGCTTATGTGGTGCTGGGAATCGAACCCAGGGCCTCATGCATGCAAGGCAAGTGCTCTACCACTGAGTCACCTTCCCAGCCCTTTCAACATTAAATCTTGACTCAGAAAATACAATTTCTAAGAAATGTCTATCCAACGTATTAAATATGCATAAAACACAAGTGTATTATAAAATACTACTTACAAGAACTTCATAGTCAGGAATGGTATGAGTCCCCAGCCCTGTCCTGTCAAAAGTTACTCTATAAGTAGCATTAAGTGTGTCTACAGCATCTATCTGTCCAGTGAAGAGACCATCATGAACACCACGTAGCCGGGCTGAAAGAAAGACAGACTTTATCACATTTGGGAGATAGAATTATACAGAAAATATTAGTTTTAAAATGAACATGTATTATATTTTAGGTTTATTGATGCACAAATGAAATCACATAGCTACTAAATTAAGGGGGGAAATATATTAACATTTAGAGTTTAAACTTCTAAAAAAGTAAAGTAGCCAGCTGCTGGTGACTCATACTTGTAATCAAAGACACTCAGGAAGCTGAGATCTGAAGATTGTGGTTTGAAGCCATCATGGACCTTTTTTGAAAAAACTCTCTGAGACTCGCACTTTACCAGACTCCAATTTACCAGAAAAATGCTGGACTGGAGGTGTGGCTCAAGTGAGAGAGCACTAGTCCTGAGTAAAAAAGCCAAATAAGTCCCAGTAAAGGCATCCACACATACACAAAAAGAACTTGGACAGCCAAGTATGGTGACTCACGCCCGTCATGCTACTTGCGTGGGCGTCTGAGATCAGGAGGACTTCAGTTTAAGGCATCAGGAAAAAAGTTTATAAACCTCATCTCAACGACTAAAAGCTGGCTGGTCATAAGTCAGGTACCAGTGGCTTACACCATGCAATCCTAGCTACTCAGGAGGCTCAAATCTGAGGGTTGCAGTTTGAATGCAGCCTGGACAGTAAAGTCTGTGAGACTCTTATCTTAAATACCAAAAAAAGCTACAAGTGGAGGTATGGCTCAAATGGTAGAGCACTCTAGCTTTGAGCACAAAAGCTCAGGGACAGCACCCAGGCTCTGAGTTAAGTCCCAGGACCACTAAGAAAAAAATGAAAGAAATGATCTGTGCTTTGAGAGTGTAGCAGGAAAATACCGTATTGGTTTGATGTGCCTCTGTTTTACTGGAATGAGGCATTACATGATTCTACTCAGTTGGGCTCAGTATGGAGAGCAGAGTTACCCAAGATTGAAGTATAGGTGAGGCAGAGAAGTTGGAGAGATGTTATAGTGCAGTGACAGAATTTCAACTGAAAGAAGCTCAGGAGATGTATTTGTACAATATGGTGACGATAGTTAATACATTTTTCAAAACTGATCTGTATTTCCAAATATATTGATATAAAAAGTACTATATCACAGAAATGACAGTCATCCTGGGTGCCTGTGGCTCACGCCTTTAATCCTAGCTACTCAGGAGGCTGAGATCTGAGGGTCACCATTCAAAGACAGCCCTGGCAGAAAAGTCTGTGAGACTCATCTCCAATTAACCATCAGAAACTGGAAGTGGCGCTGTAGCTCAAGTGGTAGAGAGCACTAGCCTTGAGCTGAGAGCTCAGGGACAGCGCCCAGGCCCATAGTTCAAGCCTCACAACCAACAAAAAAGAAAAAAGAAAAAAAAGAAACGATAGTTATGGTTCTGCACTCTTGTTTAGTTTTTTCTGCTCAAGGCTAGTGCTCTACCACTTGAGGCACACTTCATTTTCAGCTTTTTATTGGTTAATTGGCGATAAAGAGATTCACAGGCTTTTCTGCATAGACTAACTTCAAACCAGGACTTTAAGATCTCAGTCTCCTGAGCAGCTAGCATTACAAGGGTGAGTCAGCAGCACCCAACAAGTTGATCACTTTTTTTTGGTTGTGCTGATCCTGGGGTTATATTTTGTTATTGCTTTTTCTGTGTATGTGGTGCTGAGGAATTGAACCCAGGGCCTCATGCATGCAAGGCAAGCACTTGACCACTGAGCCATCTTCCCAGCCCCTAAATTTAAAACGTTACTCAGTCTGAAGAGTTACATACCATGTTAATCTTCACTCACTCTAGGTAAGTTTAGGTTGTGCTGACATGACTTCTGACTGGAGCTAAGTGCTAGGACACAAGAGTCTGCCAGCAGCTGTAGGGACACCCCACCCCCACCCTTGACTTAGTGGCTCACTAGATAGAGGCAGAGTACTTAGCACTTAACAGAGGACACAAAACAAAATTAGCCAAGGTAAGAGGTGCATGGGGCAAAGTCCAGGGAAACCTGGTGGCCTGTTCTAATTGACTCACTAAGGACTTGTTTACGTTCTCCAAATACTTGTTGTTATGGTACTAATGGAGTTGTGTTGACCTAGGAAGCTCATAGAGACTCAGTGCCATACGGAGGGAGGCCGTCTGCCCAGCACACACTGAGATTTTAGACTTTTTTTTTGTCGGTCATGGG